AAACAAGATGATCCAAAAAGAGAATACGGACTAAAATTTTCAGCACGGCATCTTTCTTGTTGCTTGTTAATATGAGGAAAACAGTATGCTGTTTCAGTCATAGTACATTGATATGCTGAAATACCTTATCTGGTAAAAAGTAAAACATGATCATGATGAGGTCTGTGAAATCCAGCGTAGAATGTCGAATATCCGATAGGAAACCCTGGTCAGGTAGTTATATGTTAAATATTCCTGTCCCTCTACAGGCTTTCCATTGCGTTTTGTACATGCAGTAAATATAGCCTCCCCATGATTTGTTTTAAATATAACTGTTGCGTAACTGAGCCGGGAACTACCATTGAATCTACTTGCGAGCATCCATCCAAAACTACCGTTGACCGGGTAACGCAGTTGGTTAGGGCAACAGTATAATGATCGGAGGTCCAAGGTTCAAATCCTTGTANGTAGGACTCAGGTGACCGTTAAGGCCCATGGGCCTCTTGTTTTGTTTATTTAACGTTCCGCAAGGTATGGCGGTTTTCTTTTCTACAAAGATTTATGAAAGCTGTAGTCATGCTGAAAAAAACCACTTAAATATACGTAATTACACAAGCAGTATGGGGATCCCAACATGCTGTATCCGTCACCCAACATCTCATATTGTCTTCAGTTATTGGACACGAAATTACCAACATTAATTGTGGAATCCGAAAAGCATATTGCTGATCAGGTTGCCGTAAACGTATGGCTTAAGTACTCACAACTAAAGTCTGATATGGGTAAGTTCTGTTACCTGATATTGTTCAGATGAAAAGACAAAGGAAAAGGAACAATGAAAGCACTCCTTGAAAAGTTCTGTGACGTTCCTCCGGAATTTCTTCCCCACAGCTACATAAATCAAGATATTGATACTAGAATTGATAGCATACAGCGTATTGACTATCATTCCGTAGTATTTCTTATCGATTCCCTCGGACATTAAGTTCGGAAACTGGTTGAAAAATCCGAGAGTTTGAACCACACCAAATACGGTCATGATGATGACAAGACTTTGAGAGATGCTGTCTTTCTTGGTGTTAGGTGAATTGACTACCCCAAGTTTCTGACGCATTTTTCTCATTTTTGCCAGTTCCTTTATGATAAAAATGTTCATTATTAACAAAACAGCGAGAGGAACCACAAAGTACATCGCACCATATATCCATACCAAATACACTTCCTTGTAGAAATAACCTTCTCCGAATCCTGTATACACTATCTTGTAACATGTTAAAGATGAATTTACGTTGAAACATGTAGTTTGATTGACAGTTGTTGCTAATAAACGAGGGATGTTGTAGACGATAGAACAAAAGAGGATTCCACATAGGACAGCAATGGTCTTTCCTCTGCTTCTGTAGTTGGCGTACTTCAGTGGGTAACAAACGGCGATATATCTCTCCACGGATATGAACACAAGAATGTACACATTACATTGCTGTAACGTCATCATTATGTAATTTATAACGGAAAATCCTAAACTGTTAAGCACATTTATCACAAGATCAAAGTCAACAAATTTCGATAACAGCATAGGACATGATAGAGCAATGAGACCTATTGTTATCATTGTGATATCGGAGAGAACCAGGGCACGGAGAAGAATGTTATTCGTGGAAGCCATTTCCTTTTTCCATAACACTATGGCAGTCAATATGTTTCCAAAGTATCCGAAAAAAATGACAATCGGCAAAACTATTCCGTATACAACAAACCTGCTATCCGATATTTGACCTGTACTATTGGAGATGTCATGGTTATCCGTTTCGTTGCTGCTGTTCAAAGAAGAAACGTTTGAGAAAAGCGACCCGTTCATTGTTGTTGCGGTATAACATCTGCTTCGTCGTCCTGCGATGTTCGGGACAAATAGGAGTCTGTTTGCTGGAACCCTAGGTCGTTATATACAGATGATGTGTTGTCCTGTGCCTTAGTTGTGACAAGCAGATGACTTCTTTCAAGATGATAAATTCAGAGGCATTCATTAGTTAATTGAAACGTTAAGCAATGTCGTTTAGCTGTATTAGTTTTCGAAATTGATCTGAAGGTTATTTATTGAATGTTCGGTTGTTTAATTCCCTGGACATGTTTGTGGAATTTTTTGTTCTCTTGGTCTCGATCTGACCATATTAACACTTAACACACGTAGGAACAATTTATACAATATTCGCTGTCGTAATTTTAACCTCTGCAATTTTTATTTAATTAATTGTTTTCGGTATCTTGTATATTTGTATTATTTAGAAGTGATTTGTAAGCGTGTACAGGTAACATATCACTGTCGTACGATAAAGTAATGAAGAGGAGTCTGGGGTGTTTTATATTTCAACTGATGGATAGGTATCTGGCAAATAATATAAGGAATTCGTGTTATCCATAAGGTAAGAAGTGGCGTACAACTTCCATGCATGCATTAAAAAACTAGTGAGACCATGTTACGCTACCAAAATTGGCACGCTTCTCAAATTGGTACACGGTCAGAAAATGGTTCGAATAGTAATTTAAAAGTAAACTTGTGTGTTTTCCTCTGATGGTATAACAAAAGAGGTATTTCTAAGTGTTTCCACCGAATAGTTTTGTTTTCATCGACATTTTATGAGTAAAAGATGACTTTAAAGTAAAAAATGTCAGGGGTTAATTATGGGCATGTTTAAATGTTGATTTCTGGTCCTTATAACCGGATAATAGATAAGTGTATGCATACAATTTTAGTTAAGTATGATATTTAAAAAGGCAAATTATTGTTGCAAATGGCACATCACATAGAAGAAATAAGAACAAGTTTCACAGTCTGTAATATGGGGTACCAATTTGGGTTCTAATCGTGGCCGAAAAAGGGATGAAATCTCACTCCGAGTTTGGCGTTCTGTTTTTAAAGACAAATTACTTGACTACCCCAAAACTTTTCCTTAAAATAAACAATGAAGGGTATTCTTTGTCAAGAATCAAGAAACATTTTTAATAAGATTCATTAGTTTTGAAATATGTGATATCAAAGTTTTACTTTCTACACAAACAATGTAAGTATTAAACGTGTCACAACGTTTCAAGACTGACTGGTCCTTTGTCAAGCTATGACTGAGTGAGCGATTTGTGTTATTTATCTGTGCAACAATGTGACGAAATTGTATATTTTTCATGTCACTCGACCCGAGACATTTCACCTATGGATAGGGAGCGTATACACACTGCATCAGATAGGTTACAGGTAGGGTTAAGATCTCTTTCAGCACCCCAATGAGACCACTGACAACACCCAGACAATTCCTGGTACACCCCAAAGATATTGTCAGCAGTCATATATAGGTGAAACTGGGAGGAAATTTGGTACACGTCTGAAGGAACATCAAAAGGACGTAGAGAAAATGAGCAACATCGCATTGACCAGATCCACACGCAAAACATCCGCCATCCAGTACAATAAATCGGCATTAACAGATCACGTCAACACCCAAAATCACATAATCGATTGGGACAATGCCAAGATAGTTGAAAGGGAACAACACACAAAAACGAAACAAATCAAAGAAGCAATCAAAATCAGGAAAACTCAAAACAGAAACAGAAACGAGGGGGACACCAGCTGAGTCATCTGTATGACCCGATACTGACATAACAGGGAAGGGGGCGATATCTACACCCTACTTGTAACCTATCTGATGCAGTGTGTATACGCTCCCTATCGATAGGTGAAATGTCTCGGGTCGAGTGACATGAACAATATACAATTTCATCACATCGTTCACTCAGTCATAGCTTGACAAAGGGACCAGTCGGTCTTAAAACGTTGCGACAAGTTTAATACGCCCATTGTAGGTGTAAAAAGTAAAACTTTGATATCATTAGGAAACATTGTTTTACCAATTGCGGTCGCGTGGTGTTATACCTTATCAGTTCAGCCAATTATTATTTATGGTTCGATATAATGACTGCATACTGATTTTTTATTTGTGAATTGGCTTTTCTAATTGTTTGTATATGTTTTAACGTTTAGTTTTTAATGGTTTCTTACCATTTTAAATGTATTATTATAGATATGCAAATCGTTGGTAAGTGAGAGTTATGTAATATTTGTATTAAGATGTTCATGAAAATAAAGAATGAAACAGACGTACATCGAAATGTAATCGATGACATTACTAGTATCACTTAAAGCAAGTTAATTGAATGCGATATCATGCTAAAAGTTTCAATAATGCCAGTACTATAAGAATGTCAAGTTAACAAGTAATGAAGCGCCAATATTGAAACATTTTACATGTCAAATTAGAAAACCAAACGAAGAAACATTTTCTCCACCATACGACCATATCGTCCATTAAAAAACTCATCAGAAGTACTTAAATTTAAATACACAGTGAAATGGAAAGGGTGATTAATTAAAGTCCTTTTTAACATTACAACTTTACAACATTTGGATGAACAGATCGTTTATTTTTGAAGTAAATATTTCATGTAAACCTAGCCAAAACATATTCTAGCTACAAGGTAACGATACGCCCCAGTGTCTAGTAGTAGGACGCCGGCCTCGTGACCGAAGGGTTGCGGGTTCGAGTCACGTCACGGCACTGTGTTGTACCTTTGAACAAGAGACTTTACTCCACTTGTTCTATTCTACTCAGCTGTAAATGAGTACGTGGTTGGGCAGTGCTGGAATCGTTGAATGCTAGCTGTGAGCGCCTAAATGCAAGCACCGGCTGTTGAGAAAGGTATTGGCTGGTTACAAAGGCCCAATAACCACAAATAATAATTTGTTAACCGCTTTGAGACGACCAATGACCTAGGTTATGCTAAAGCGGTATGTAAGAACCTCGAATTATTATTATAACTACGTAATAACTGTATACATAAACCGCATTACCTTGTTAATGGCGCAATTGATTTATCGGTGCGGACAGACTTTAACAAACAATATATTTTTACAAACAAACACAACAATATAACTTTAGTTACCAAGTGAAACTCATCTTAAACAGTTGCATTCAATTCCTGAAGCTGGAAAGCTCACTTAAGCGATATTCCGTGGATGGCTTGGTACATGGAGAACAATGAAACCACGTCTTAAAAAGGTCGGATACATTTTTCCTGAATTTCTTCCCCACAACAACATAAATCAGAAAGTTGATACTGGAGTTGATAACATACAGTACATTGACACATTTTATGAACATATCTTGATCTATCCCGTCGTCCAGAATGTTCGGGAACTGGTTAAAAAATCCAAGAGTTTGGACAACACCAAAAACAACCATGATGAGAACAAGACTAAGAGTTATGCTATCTTTCTTGGCGTTAGGTGAGTTGACCACGCCCAGCCTTTTCCGTATGTTCCACATCTTTGCCAGCTCCTTTATAATTAAAATATTCAATATTAACAGAATCGCAAGAGGAATAACAAAGTATATAGCACTATATAGCCATATCGAGTACACTTCCTGGTAGAAATAACCGCTCCCGAAATCTGTGTACAATAATGTATAACAAGTGAAAGAGGAATTCTCGTTCACACACGAAGCTTTATGAACGGTAAATGCTAATATTCGCGGGATGTTGTAAGCAATGGAACAACAGATAACTCCACATAGGAGAGCGATAGTTTTTCCTTTACTAGTGAAGTTGACGTACTTTAGTGGATGGCAAACGGCAAAATACCGCTCCGCAGACAAAAACACAAGAATGTACTCGTTGCATTGCTGTGACGTCATAACCAGATAGTTCAAGGTAGAATGTCCGTGTATGAATATGGCAGCAGTCGCCTCTTCATTATCTATTAACTTTGTTAACAAGAATGGCAGAGATAGAACAATGAAAATTGTTGTTATCATTACAATATCGGAGAGAACCAGAGCACGGAGAAGAATGTTATTCGTGGAAGCCATTTCCTTTTTCCATAACACTATGGCTGTCAATATATTTCCCAGGTATCCAAAAAACACCACGACAGGGAGAAGTATTCCATACATAAATGTCTCGTCATTTAATACATCCATGTGCCCAGTCCCGTTGTCAACAGAAACGGAAGTATTTGTGTAGATTGATACGTTCATGACTGTAGCTAATTCGCCTCGAGTACATTTGCCTTGTTAAAGACATGCATTCCAGAAGCCGCTCCACCCTGTCTAGTTTTAGGTGAATTAGGTCGAACCCGTTTGCAAATGAACACAACGGCTTGGGGAAACAATGATCCCATTAAGGGTTATAATCTGTGGTATCGTTTGCTTATCATTATATGCCATCAGAGGTGGAAGATACGATTTCGACGGGCATTGATGAAATTGACGAGTTGTTAGTGGACGTATATTCATGTTATTAACGATCCAAAGAGCCGTGGGTATAGACATAAATATTAAATGAGTGTGTGTTGGACATTAAAACCTGATATATTGTGGATGACAGCGGAATATGTTGTCTCGGAGTAATATTTGTAAAAGACGTCATAGTCTAATTTTGCTGGTCAATACATATGTAAAAGATGTGGATTAATTAGGTTGCCTTACAATCATCAGCCCATTTAGCTTAGTGGTAGAGCATTGGGCTGGAGAGCCAAGGGTTGCGGGTTCAAGCCCCAGCGACGGCACTATCTTTATTACTATTCCTCTCCTATAACACACATATTTTCATTTCCACTGCAAGTTTTTCTATAAGCATAACCCAGGGGAAATCTAATCTCGTTCAACCAGACTCTTGTTGTCTGCGCAAGATACGCCGAACAGAGTATTTAGTCAAACACAGTGCTATCGTTTTGTGACATCATAACGAGGCTTAGCAGGATTCTGGTAAATTATTTCATTGGTCAAAGGTAGACACACCTTTTTTCAACTTTTTAAGTCAGAATTTGAGAGGCACAAAATTGCATTGAATATTTTAATTTATGAAAACAATTACCTGTACAAGCATTTCTGAAGCATCCGTGTTTTCACTTTTATCGAGAAAAATGTAAGAAAATGCTTCAAATCTCAATGATGATTGCATGTAGTCTATTTTCATTGGATTTTAACAATAATTTATGAAGCTAACAAGGCTATTAATAAGAGCGCAGCTCTTCTTGCGCGGAAGGCGCAAGAAGCGAAGCTCTTTTCCGGTAACATGTGTACGAACAATTGAAGTTATGGTATCGTCCAAATACTATGCTTCCAAAATCCTTCGTCACGGAAGTAGCTAGAGTTACCGCGGTCCTATTTTTACGATGCTGTTTAGCTTTGCTACACATTCCCAAAAATGTCTTTTTATTTGAGAATTTTTTCTGTGGTTATGTAAATTCATGACATTAAAAATTATAGAAACTGAAGCTTCTTTCAAATTTTCAGTCTTTTCTTCTCTCCACCAAAACCGGAAGTATATAGTAACTGCCAAACCAGACGGAAATCCGGATATGTTTGGGCTATTGTGATTCTCTTTGTACACGATTTAGAGGGATCAGGCAAAGTATATCATGTCGGAAAATAAAATTGGAATTTAATCACCAATATACTTAACTTTTATAATAACAGATAATAACAGTTGATAAACAATACATCTTCAAATATGAAGTCCCTCTACTGGGCCTCACTCTTTCCGCAACCTTACGCTGAGGCCATAGACGGGGCAATTAAATGCAACAGTACCAAATGCATTTTTTTTTTCTCTTGAACTGCATAATTCCTTCGAATGCTTTTCTTTACTTATTATTAATTTTACATTTATCGCTATAAAACGATAGATAATATTTTAAACAATGTTAATTAGAAAATAAAATTGAAAAAACAGCATTTAGACGCTTCTCTCGTTTCAGGCAATGCCTGTTTTCAAAATGAATGATTTTGCCCAGCAACAGATTCAAGTATATTATAAAAAAAAAAAAACAATTACAGGTACATTTTGTATGTATAAAAAATGGGTAATGTTATTACTCAAAAATTATAGTATACTATCGAAACAAATGTACGTGCTGCGCTCTCTCCAGGCCATGCCTGAGTCATATTACAGGTCAACCCAGATTACCTGAGTGAGAAGCAACCTCAGTCAGCCTTGTTGGCTTTGTGCTCAGTTATGACTTATTCAGTGGAAATATATGGCATTATTCTGGAGAATTGACATTTTCTTCAATTTTTCTCGATAAAACTGAATACACAGATACTAAAGGAATGCATGTACAGGTAAGTTTTTTTCGTTAATTTCCTTATTCTTTGAAATGTTTTAACGGCGTTGACATAACGTCCGGGAACGAAAGTAAAAACACTGCCCTCTGGTGATGGTAATTCTAAAGTACTGTGTAGGGTTATGACGACAGTAATTTGGTCTGCGTCATTTTGAAGCTTCTCCTTCCGCTTCGAATAACGTGAGATAACCATTAGAAGCAAACACTTCGGAGACTTCACGCTATTCCAGGAGTCTCGTTTGCATTGATGACACAGACACTTCAATATTTAGACCAATAGTATGCTTTACGGCACGACCGTTAGTGAGGGCGGAGCCAGGTTGTAATTGTATCGGACTATCGGTACTGTACTCTTTCAAGCATTGAGTGATGTGAAATTACTAAATCAGACTTACATGTATAGCTATACAGTGTATATTTGTCTTGACTTTGAGTTTGATGGAAGACTGAAAAAACTTGTATAACTAGGCCTCTTGAAAACTGTCGCTGAATCAGAATGAAATGCGTGTGAACATAATTAAAGATCGCAGCTGGTATGGTGAGGGAGTTAGAAACCATTTGAGTAAACTGCATTTATACATTTACGTAAAATAGGTTTTTATCAACAAGTTACCATGCTACCTTTCCAGGTTGGTCTTGTTGTTATAACATGTCTTAGTAGTTGATATATGCTACACATTTTGAAAATTGACAAAATGATAGGATATACTTCTATTTAGCTGAATTCATAATGAAATATATATATATATGGAATTTTGTCTAAAACTTATACAAAATAACACAAGAATGATTTTTGACCAAGATTGGTTAAAAATTGTCTTAGGTTCTTGAGAAGTCAAACATGTTAAAAGTTTACTAACACAAAAATAAAGAAATGGATGACAAAGTTTCATCAGGAATTTCCCTGATTCAGACGAGTTAAAACGTGCAGTTAGCGTCTGACATGTCACCCACCGCACTTATATATATATACAAATGGAATTTGCTACATGTATTTTCTTAGGTAGTTACAAATAAATTTCGCTTGAAGTCTCAAGAGTCATTTTCATTGAAATTGGAGTCAGTTTCATTTATTGCTTCTTCAAATTGAATTGCTCGTTTTACTTCTGTCATTAGCGACAGATAAACACATGAAATAATACCATTTTGTTGACAGCACATCACTAGGATGCACTCCATCATACAAATCTTTGTATGATGTCTTCACAAAAAAAAAATATATGTATTCTTTTTCTACCACGTTTCTTTGTGGAACATAACAAAAGGTCGCGATCCCATCTCACAGGTGTGGTAAAAGCAAGTAATGCAGAATTAATAGTTTTTGCTGTCGTTACAATGTATTGAAATCACGATTTTTTTCAAGATAAACTGATGAAAGACATGTGAATTTCACACAAAAAATTTCAAGTGACTGAAAATAATTTCCGCCTTGGAGTATGATGACATGACATTAATTAATGTGAGAATGCGAAAAGTTCATTAGACTCGCGATCCCAATTTAACTTTGCACCTCTTGAATCCATTGCAAAAATCAAGTGCCGCATATTCTACAAAGACAATGAAATAAAACACATCAGGATATATATTGTAAATCATGTATAATATCATAGTTTTCTGATATCCACGAAAAGATATACAGTACATATATTTAAGCATTGAACTGTTTTGTATGGTATTTATGATCTATTTGAATGACACAGCTTTGCAAGCAAACAACATTATATACAGTTATAGAATGGGTATGAGGGAAATAGCACATTTATGGTCCCCCGAGGTGAAAAACTATTTCCCAATCGGCGAAGCCGTCGAGAGGAATAGTTTTGTCACCAAGGGTGACCATAAGTTTGCTATCTATAACTGTTTTATTATAACGAAACAAATTATTCACCCATTTAACAAATGAATTTATCTATTCATTTCCTTTTACAATTTCAAAGACTGAAAGAGAAAAATACAATTGGAAGTACTGTATGCATCGTCGTTGATGATATCTTTATTTCTAGCATTCAAGAAGTGTTTTTATAGACTTTGTGTAACAAACATAGTAAAATCATTAAAATGGGTAAGCCTTGAAGACCGCAGAAAACAAAATAGGCTATCCATGCTGTTTAAAATACAACATGATCTAATAGACATAGATCGGCAACAATACCTGACGCCAAATGATAGCTGGACCAGAGGTAAAAACCGCTTCTACCAAGAAAGGGCTACAACAGACGCCTTCGGCCAATCATTCTTCCCAAGGACCATCAGGGACTGGAACCAACTACCAACATCAGCGACATCAGCCAACACAGTTGAAGGATTCAGAGCTGCCCTGAAGGCATGCTCTGCTAAAATCTAGACAGTAACATCCTGTACATAATTTTAATTGTATACATATAGAGAACGTTTTAATGTAAATAGCCAAGAGAATACTTTCTGTGTTGTCCGACACTGCGCAAAGTTCTCGCGGAACCAAATACATTCATTTATTGAATTCGGTTCCTTACCTGGAAGAAGAAGAAGAAGAAGAAGACTGAATCTCATAGTCACCATTGTATTCCTACCATATCTAGATCTAGTCCTGGGTTTTTTAAAAGAGCTCGCTTAACCCTTCTCGTCGACGCTTCCGGCATTCCGTTCTGTTAAATAAGATTGAAGTGAATTCACTGCAGTCTTTATAACAGCTTTTGTATTTAAGCTACGTTTAGCGTCCACAATCTGCTGTAACTCCTTTTTACAACAACAAAACGGCCTTCATCGGTGGCCATTTTCACTGTTGTCATTTGGTTCTGAAAATGTGACGTCATGAGCGTCACGGAGAAGGTCCCGCCTACCAATGTTTCCATTGGTTGAAATCTTATAAGCTCC